ATATTGGGCTCATGGCATTCTACCTTGGCATTGAAGTCAAGCAAATGGAAGATGGGATCTTCATCTCACAAGAAGGTTATGCAAGGGAGATATTGAAGAAATTCAAGATGGAGAATAGCCAACCTATAAAAACTCCTATAGAATGTGGAGTCAAGCTATCACAGTTTGATGAGGGAAAAAGAATTGATCCAACATTTTCCAAGAATTTGGTTGGAAGTTTGCGCTACTTAACATGCACAAGACCTGATATTCTTTATGCTGTTAGTTGCTACATGGAGACTCCAATTGTTACCCACCTGAAAACTGCTAAAAGAATTATGCGCTATATCAAAGGTACAATTGATTTTGGCTTATTTTACTCATCATCCAACAATTTCAAGCTTGTAGGATATAGCGACAGTGATTGGGCTGGAGATATGGATGATAGAAAGAACACTACAAGGTTCGTGTTCTTCATAGGAGACACTGCTTTCACTTGGATGTCAAAGAAACAACCAATTATCACTCTTTCTACTTGCGAAGCAGAGTACGTGACTGCAACCTCATGTGTTTGTCATGCAATTTGGCTTCAAAAGTGTTATCACTACATCAGAGAATGCATCGAAAGAAGGGAGGTACAAGTGCAGTACGTGAAGTCTCAAGACCAAGTTGCAGATATTTTTACCAAGCCGCTGAAGAGTGAAGACTTTATTAAAATGAGAAGTTTGCTTGGAGTCACAAAATCAAGTTTAAGAGGGGGTGTTGAAATATAAACTTGGTTTTAGTTGTTTAAATAAAGCTTAATTTCTAGAAGCTTATTCTAGAATATGTGGTAGGTATGAAATTATTGTGTAGTAGGTGTGGTAGGTGTGGTAGGTGTTGAATTATTGTGTGGTAGGTGTGGAATTATTTGTAACCATTGGATTGTAATTGTGGTGGCACAATCCTAGCCATTAATTTAGGAGGTGCCACTAGTATAAATAGGGGTGGAGTCTTTGAGTTTGTATCAAGTCAAGTAAAGGTGTTAAATAAGAGTGAAGCTTCTTCCATAAGTTGTGTTTTTAGCCTTTGTCATTTCCTAAAAGCTTTTCCATTCCAACAAAGAGATAGCTCCAATGTGTTGTTAGATGGCTCCAATGTGATGAGAATATAAACTAATCACCATAGATGAAACACCAACAAAGCATATTAAGATTTAAGTGGTTCGACTAAAATAAAACTATGTTTACAATGGAGAAGGATTTGACCTACTACAGAGAAGTTATACTAGTGTATAATAAAAAAGAGCATAAGGAAATACTCTTCCCTAATCTTAGTGCACCTACTCTTATCACAAAAAAGGTCTAAATCTCTCTAAAATTACTAAAAGAAAAATAACTTAAGATAGATTATAAATCAATGTGTTGAATCCTTTTAAGACACAGGGACCCGTATTTTTTATGGGCTCATACAAGCTAGGATGGACCTTATTTTTGGGGGAATGTGAGGAAGAATTAAGAGGGTGGAAGTGCTTCCTAGGCTCGAGTTTGCAAATTCTCTCCTGATTCTCTTGGGAGAAAGAATGGCCTAGAAAAAGAGTTATGTTTTTTTGGAGAATTGGATTGGAAGCCTCCCTCGCCTTCCTTTGGATCCCATACATAAAGAAAAAGAGAAAAGAGTATTAAACTACAAGTCGTATAATAGCAAGTTTGTCCATGAAGTCCTGATTGAAATGACAAAGACTGGATGTTTGACAGCTCTTAAATAGGTGTGGGCAAAAGTCTGTTTCGTAATGATGACCTTCTTTTCAACAGTCAAATGATCCCAAAAGAGATAAGAGCTTTGTCAGGCCACTTCGGCGGGTGGGCATGATCAAGCCACTTGAGCAGGTGGGCACAATCAGGCCACTTCAGCAGGTGTGCTTAGCTCATTAGGATGATTGAATCTTTGAAGTTGGGCCATCCAAGTCCATGAAGCTAGTTAATTCTCATATTAGCCCACAAAGGCTGTGTATGAGTATACAAAATGTGATTAAAGTACTACCAAAAATTACCCATTCAAAGGCTTCATGAAAGCATGCTTCCCATGTCTTTATGGAATCCCCACAAAATTTTCAACTAAAATGGTGCTTTTAGCTTATTAGGGTGAAACTTCAATATTGCCATTTTTTGTAATCCATTTTCTCATTTCAATCTCTATCTTCCTTTTTCTCCAAAACTTTACAATTTTTTTCTTCAAAAATCTCCCAACAAACTCCTCTTACCCCAATGAAGGCACCACTCACTGATGCAAAACTCACAAGGGATAATAAATCCCATATTTAGGTCTTTTATTTATGGGAGGTTAAAGAGGTGGATTTCAATTTAAATTAAAAAACTTTTCAAGTTTTACTTTCCGATGATGATCTTTATGTATTGAATTGATACCTCTTTAAATTGAATTTCTTCTAATTAAGAAGAGCTATTTATCTTATGGAGCATTCTTACCATCATGATCATTATCCTTACGCCAACTATTTGAGATTGGCATTATAAATCAACATTTTTTATCATCTCTACCAAGTACTTTGATGTGTCAAATCTATACAAATAATTTTGAATAACTTTTTCAATATCTTATTAGGTTTCATCCCTTGAGACGCTAAGTTTATGTACTTGTCTATATTATGAAATTTTTATACACTTTGTTGTGTTAGTCCAAAACACCCAAATCTATAAATCCTATGTTTTTTTTTTTAACATTGTTTTCGGCTTAATAGGATTAAAATATATACCTAATAATCTCTCACAATGAAAAATTATAACAATAAAGGATCTACTTACAGTGGAACTTCGCGTTTTGAGGATAGGTTTATCCTCTCGTTGCCTATCTTTCAATCCCTCATTCGGTTCCCAGATCTTTCTCACCGTCTTTGGCATCGGAATCATAGACACAAAAGAACGCGAGGCAGAGCTGGAGATGGTAGTAATAACTGATGACTTATCTGACTCGTCACTCTCTTCATCAACCCGTGAAGCCCCCATTTTCATCGGCTGCTTCAAGGCAGAGGAAACCCTCTCCAATTCCTTCCTCTGTGCCGTCATACCTGTACAAGCATTGGAATGCAGCGTCGCATTCTCATTCTTCCTCCCATCCATCTTCCACGTGCTCGCAGAATGCTGCTCTCGATTTTTCCCCTCTGGCGTCCTTGCTCGGCAAATCGTCGAGCACGTTGCAGGCGAAGTTATGGTTACCGTGTGATGAGGTAAGGGATGCCGGCCTGGGATGAGTTGCAGGTCATGGAGGATGGGAACAGGAGACGAAGCTTCGAGGCGGCGGACGAGGATGAGTTGCCCGATCTGGAGATTGTCACTGAGGATGAGATCGTCGTGGCCCGGAGGGAGGGAGACGTAAGTGGAGTGCGAAGAATCGGAGACCTGGAGATAAAACCCTCGATCAGGGTAGAGATCGGAGTCAGTTATGGCAGGGACGATGCCGGTCACTTGTAGAATGGCGGGGTCATCGCCATTGTCTTCGTCGGAGAAAAAGTCGGCGGGGAGGATGTCTGAGTCGGAGGAAGATGAAGACTCCATGTCTCGAAAGAGCTTGAGGAGGACGCCGGAGCGCAGGGTTGCCATTGCTGCGGTTGGGTTGTGAGGTGGAAGACGTGGAAGGGATTAGAGCTAAGGGAAGCATCAAGGAGAAGAAGATGCGGGAATGATTTAAAGCGAAGAGATGCCATGAGATTTTATGGAGGAACGGGAACAACAGCCGCGGGAAGGGGATGGTCAATGTAGCTAAATTTGGCCGTTCTGTTTATCTCCCATAGGGCTGAATTAGTTATTGGTTAAAATTAGTCAAATTTAGTTTTTAATTCAAAAGAATTCGGTTCGGTCTTTGCTGTTTGGCGCATCTTGTTGCCAATAAGATATGTGATTAATTTTATGGCATTGATGCATATTTTCATAATTTTTGTGTTAGACTAGCTAAAATATATGTTTATTTTCGTTAACTAAGTATAATAATGATTTTATTTTGAAATCGCTGCTCTTAAAATAGAGGCATGGGATACAAAATTGTTTCAGTGATATGAACGGGGTATAAATCATCATTACAAGAATCCTATAATAGGAAAAATAATAAAAAGAAAATGATATGAAATAAAAATATATAACCTAATATCTCTAATAATCAATTCATATTAAGGAATTGAAGATATGGGGAATGACATAAAATAGGAAAACAAATAATTCTTAATCCTAGGAAATAAATATAGTATAGGATATCTCCTTAATTTAAGAAAATAATTTATTTCTCATAACTTCTTATAGGAATAAATTATTTCCTATTATAATTTCTAACACTCCCCCTCAAGTTGAAACATGGTTGAAAATCACGTTCAACCATCAAGTTGAAACATGGTTGAAAATCACGTTCAACTTGAATTTGAAAACATCAAACAATGAACAAGAAAAATCCTGTGAAGTAGAACTTGAAATATTTATCATGTACTGCGGTTGTCTTTGGCTGCAGTTACTGCAGTGTCCGTAGGTAGACGGAAGGTTCGTACAGATAATGCTGCAGGAGAGTTTGTAGGTAAGTAGACAGTAGTGGTTGCAGTTCCTGCAGTTTTTGTAAGTAGACGAAAAACTCATAGTAGTACTGCTGCAGGGAATTTGCAGGGAAGTAGACAACTTTGATTGTTTTGACTACAGTTCATGCAGTGTCTGTAAGTAGACTGAAAGCTCCTACATGTAATGATGCAGATGAGTTTGTACGGAAATAGACAACTTTGATTGTCTTTTGACTGCAGTTTCTACAATTCCTGTAGGAAGACACAAACTCAGACTTGGCGGAATTTTGAGTTTTAACTGTCATGTGTTTCGACAAGTAGACAACTGTGTTTGTCTTTTGACTGCAGTTTCTGCAGTGCCTATAAGAAGACTCAAAATTCAAGCTTGGCTAAAATTTGAGTTTTGTCTGCATGTGCTTCGTCAAGGGGTCGTTCGGATTATCGAATTTGTCAGATTCAGGCTTGACTGAATTTTGATTTTTGCATGTCATGTGTTTCAACAAGGTTCTAATAGATGAGGATCATCTCCGGTAGGACGCGGCCGGTGGAGTTGGTTTTGTCAATCATCTCGAGGTAAACGAGGAGAAGTTTCTGGATCGTGTGGTCCTAAAAAAGAAGTACGTAACGGACGATTGTGATGAAAAGCCACGGAAGGGCCTCGCCTATAAGAATAAGCATGACAACCTTTTTCATGGCATCGATGGTTTTGTCAATCATCTCGAGGTAAACGAGGAGGAGTTTCTGGATCGTGTGGTCCTCAAAAGGAAGTACGTAATGGACGATTGTGATGAAAAGCCACTGAAGGGGCTCGCCTTTAAGAATAAGCATGACAACCTTTTTCATGGCATCGATCTTGACAGCGATGTCGTTTCCCTCAAGTGCCAACTTGATCTCGTTTGTCAGTGTTAGGGTGCCCTTATCAAAATGGACGAGGAGAGTGGATGACCTCTCCATCTTGCTGCGTGTGGAACTTTCTCAATGGTTTTGGGTAGGAGCGGAGTGAAAGGAGGAAAAAGATGGAGTTACGGCGGTCTCCGTACGTCGCGATCCCGTGGTTAACTTCCCAGCTAGCTCCAATTTTGACCGTATCACACTATCCCGAGGGTTCCTCCACGAAGCCGACGAGGGTTTCAGAATTTGGGGAGAGGAGAAGAAAAAAATCGTTATTTCAAATACAAAGATGAGTGTCCCTCCATTTCTGCATAGAAGATGACAACAATGGAGTTCGACAATTCTCAAATAGTCACCGGTGGCTAGAGTACGAACTCTTGCTATGATATTATGTTGAAACTAAAAATAATATGTAATACAAAATTGTTTCATTGATATGAACGAGAGTATAAATAACCCTTATGAGAATATTATAATAGAAAAAATAATTAAAAGGAAATGATATGAAGAGAAAGATATATCACCTAATATCTCCAATAATCAATTTATATTAATTATTAGGAGATATATGAAATAACATAGAATAAGAAAACAAATAATTCATAATTCAAGGAAATAAATATAAGATAAAAAAGTAAATATCTTCTTAATCTAAGGAAATAATTTATTCCTGATAAAAAAGTAAATATCTTATTAATCTAAGGAAATAATTTATTCCTCATAATTTCTTACAGGCATACATAAATTATTTCCTATTATAATTCCTAACAAACTCCATCTTGATTGACATTCTCCCACATGTCCTATTTAACTTAATTTCATACTTATTATCATATAAATACATTATATCTTTTAAATCTTAAACTCTACCAGAAGATTAAAAGAAGTCATAGCAGCAAATCCTTTATATTAAGTATTATCTTCCATTTATAAAATGTAATATTCTCTTTTATGAATGCATCATATTAATTGGTATAAATCTTTATGAATAAATTCATGACTGCTCTAAATATTAGGTGTATAACTAAAAAGAGAAGATAATTTCAAATATTGAGCTTTAGATATTAAAAATTATATTAAAATTGAAAGGATAACTCAATTACACATTTATATATTGGAGTTGGAGAGTTGCAAATAGTCTCTGGACAACTTTGATGGTACTATCTTGGTCAAGGATCTGCAATTATCAACACAATTATACTATACTAAATGCCACATTGTTTGTTTTAACAAGTTTTAAATTGACAACAAATTTTATAATTTATATAATATATAGTTATTTTGTCTCCCACTTACATAATTTTTAGCTAATAAAATGTAGTGGTATTGTCATAGTATTGCCTCAATGGCCTATAGATAAAATCAACAAGTTTAAGCATTGAAAAAAGCTTATAAGCTAAATAGCCTATGTTGTTATTTTGGATCCTAAATTGTCTTTTGAAAGCACATGTCTCGAGAGTTAAAGCTGAGAGAAGAAGAATGAGAGAGTAGAGCAGATAGAGAATTTGGGGGGACAGTACTTTATTCATCTTTTGACCTTGTATTTATAGGGGCCTGATTGTACAATAATTGAAATGAGGGAACGATTATGGTAACCGCCCTAAATGCAATTAATGTGCTAAATTAATGTCAGATTTACATTTAAAATTTCAGTAAAGTACAACGACTATCAATTGGTATATGCGTTGAGCTCGGCTGATCAAGGCGGTCGGTCGCATGAAGATTACTCCCGTCGAGGGAAATGGTCGGTCGATTAGTATTGGTCAGCCCTACGAGAATCCTAGATAGCTAAGACCGTAAGCAAGGTCCACTGATTGGATTTATCGACATTATTTGTCGGTCGACTCAACCGAGCAGTCGGTCATTAGATGGATTGGTTAAATTTATGCTCTTCAGTTCGGGACTTCAATTGTCTGATTATCATTCTCAGTCGCTCGATCCTCTTAAGGTTAGTGCAGACAGTTTCGATGTGTACATGTTAGTTCATGAGTTTTTCTGCTCCTTGATAATGGTAAGACAAAAAAATTACTAAATAATAGAGTGGCACCAAAATTTAGAAAATTAATTTAATAACCAGCTCTCCTTTGGGTTTTATGCTCAATGAGCCCTATAAATAGGACCATAGGGTTGGCATTACATCATTTGCTACCAACTCTTATGAGACGGCTGATCCAGATCTGCCCACAGTCGCTCTGGATTTATCTCCTACTACTGAATCGATTTATCAACTTGTACCACTGTTTCTATCTCACGCTGAATATGGAACATCCTCCTGTGGTTCTCAATCCAAGCATAAGTCCCCTTCAACTTTGCCCAATTGTCATTCACCATTTGAATGTCATCCACTGCTGAAGCCATCAATAGAACCAGTGAGTTGAGAAGCAAGGTGTAAAGTAAGGCGTGTGTGACCTCAACTCATCCCCCTCAGCATTGTCGCCTTCTGCCTCAGCCTTGACTCCCGTCAGCCCTATTACAGTAGCATGGATCCAACTCGACCAACTTAGATACGTGGCCGATCCATCAAGATTCAAATTCATAGGAGGGAGATCTAGTTTCACCTGCATCGGAGTACGTGCTGAGATGATTGCTTCTGTTGAGATGCTAGCTCTCCTTTATGAGCCAGACCAAGACCTTTGAAAACCTCAGGATCTATTTTCCCCTGAAACTTCAATCATTTACCTCTCGCAATAACTATGTTTCTTAACATCCTCAATCACAAGGATTCAAGCCTAAGTCACACAAATCACACGTGAATTTGATCCTTTGTGTTTGTAAGCTGGGGGTTTAAAAGTTGCGCTCACATACGCGATCAACTCTTGGTCCCTTGTCAGCCCCACATAATTCGGTCATGAAGGATTTGAAACAGGATGGGAGCTATGGATTGGGGGTTTAAAAGCTGCGCTCACATACGCGATCAACTCTTGGTCCCCTTGTCAGCCCCACATAATTTTGTCATGAAGGATTTGAAACAGGATGGGAGCTATGGATCTATGGAAGTTACAATCCTCCGCTGCCTTCTCAACGCCACTAATTGTGATTCTATCGCATCCCTCTCAACGCTTATGATCAAGACTGAATTGTGTCCCTCACAACGCCCCTGAACGTGACTATATTGGGTCGCCTCTATTCACAACTATATCGTGTCTCTCTCAGCGCCCTTTTATCGCAACTATATTGCGTCCTTCTAAACAACTCCATTTGTGATTGTATCTCGTGCGCCCCGCATTGCGTCCCAGCTAGCCGCCCTGCATCTGCACTGCGTCCCCACACTATGTTACAGAGATCTCCGAGAGCTTGTGGGTCACCATTCATCGCGATCCCCGACAGATGTGAGCTTTTGGTCTCTGTATGCATAGGCCCCTCGAGACAGACAGCTAGGGAAAGAATTGTACAAAACCTAATATGTTCATTCATGGGCTTAAATAGGATATTACAATGCTTTACAAATGAATCCCTAAACTACTTCAGTATCCCCTTTTTACCAATAGGACCTTACATAAATTTCAATTCTCAACAAGATGAAAAAGAGTGTTAGATTTATAATTAGCAATGTTTTTAGTGCTAAGTATGTAATCGCCCCAATAAAAAATTGAATCGAAAGGCTGCGTTTTAAGAGCAACCCTCTCCATTACTCGAATAATTATTTAACAGGGAAATTTACATACATACCACATAATTCCTATGAATTTACATATCCCTGACCTAAAATTTCATCTTTATATTTGATACACTTTAATGTCATAAACTTATGTATAAACATGTGTATTTTGCTTTTAGAAAGTTTGCAATGCTTGGATTTTTTAATGTGATTAAAGACTTGAGTGTTATTTTTGTAAATATGAAAGATTAGCAGTTACATATGTAACTAAACAGAAATTGCGGGGTATGTATGTAAATGATCCCATTTAGTATTTGCATTGTCCATTTGGATGCGACCTCCTTGCTCTTAAGCTAAAGCTAGGCATACCTCATCAATCATAATCATATTTAAGAGAAAAATTATAATAATTAAACAAAAATTACTTTTTTATATTATTAAATAATATTCAAATTATTTTAAGATGAATTATAATGTCTTATTGTTGTATGCCAAAGCTGTATGATAATAAAGTATTTATACCTTAGTGCTTCATAAGAACAAAACTCAGTGTTGACCTAGCGTCATATGCTGGCAACCTTATATGACCGTTCATTTCAACCATCAACGGCTAGTGTTGTAGGTTGACCAAATCAAAAATCAACCTTTCTCCTCCCCCTATAAGTCCATTGAAACTCCACCTCCTTCTAGGTTGAAGCATTCCAATCCCTCCGTCTATATATACTCCTTCCTTCACCATCATCTCACCACAAGAGCTCACAGGCCTCCAGCTTCTAACATCAACCAACATTGAAGCTTGAAGCTTTCTTCTCTTCCAGCATAAAATGGCATCTCAGTCGATCATCGCCAGCCACCGCGAGGGTGCTGAGATCTTCCAAGGCGATGCCATCTGCAAGGAAAACTCCATCAAATTGCTGGAGGAGCTCTGCCTTCCAAAGGGTCTGTTTCCCCTTGAAGATATCGAGGAATTCGGCTATAACCGTGCTTCCGGCTTCATCTGGCTGATTCAGAAGAAGAAGGATCACGTGTTCAAGCAGATCAAGAGAGCCGTGTCTTATGCTCCGGAAGTTACTGCCTTTGTTGAGAAGTATAAGTTGAAGAAGATGACTGGTGTTAAGACGAAGGAGCTCTTGCTATGGCTCTCTGTGGAGGGTTGTGGAAGTCTATTTCGAGACCCCCACATCCGAAAAACTCACCTTCAAGACAGGCACTGGCCTCTCTGATAGCTTTCCGGCTTCCGCCTTTGAGTTGGAGTAGTCCCATGGAAACGAAAACGCACAAAAAAAAAGCTTTGATATCAAGCTTCACAAGAGTGTTTTATCAAACATTTAATGATTTCTGATCATATCTGTGTGTTTTTGGCTTTTCATTGAATAAGGTCAAGTCAGTTTCAACAATTTGTCAAATTGAAAAAAGGTCAATTTTATCTAGCTCTTTATTTTGAGTTCATGGGATACTCTTCATTATGATGTTTCAGATCTCCTGATAAGTATTATTAGCTAAAATATGATAATATCTTAAACAACTGTCAAAAAGAAAATATACAAGTATAAATTACTTTTGCTCAGCACCACTGAACTATTGAATTCGACCAAAACAATTGGTGGTTCTGTCTTCTGGTTCTCTTTAGTACAATATAATAAATATTGAACAAAAGAATGCAAAATATGTATAATAGATTTATTACCTTCCAAGAAGAGATCAGTTTATGCCATGCTGAATGCTGAATGCTGAATGCTCTTCCTTCACACAACTATACTGTACAGAGATGCACTCCAAGTACTGTTAATTAGCTCTACGAATTCCCACATTCCCCATGACTTCATGCATTAATACACAAAAGCTCAGCTATGGTGGAATTTACATGACTCAAATTCTGAATCTACTGGCTTTAAATTAATTGGGATTCAATACTACTTTGTGGTGACTAACTGTCGTCATCCGAATTCGCTGGTGGATTTGGCACATATCTATGGAGGACAGGCAGTGATGAACTCGCGGGTAAGCGGAAAGCTTTTGCAGAACCCATCACTGTGTTCTCATGCAATCTTTTTACATCCTTGCAAACATGATCAAGAACTGCTAGGAAGTCCCTCACCACCATGAATATTCTCAACGGATGAGCTTCTTCCTTCGCTGCATCCCCATGGAAGTATTCAGTCACCTCTTTCACTCTAAGCAGTGCCCTCTTCTCCTCAGACTTAACCAGACCAATCTCATGTTCACCATTTTGTAGAAAGGTCCTCATGCTCTCAAAAAACATTTGACCTTGTTCACACGACGCGCCGAGCTGTAACACTGATCTTATCTTTTGAAGCCCCAGCTCTAGCTTAGACAGGTAACTATTGAGTACATCTGTGTCCATTCCAGCAGCCTTCTTGACATTACCAAGCTCATTGCTTAGGCCTGCAATGACTTGCAGGCCCTTCTTCTTGAAGTCCTCTTCCATGTTTTTGCTGGGTTGATTTTCTATTGAAGCTTCAGAAGCTGATCCCTCAGAGCGAATGATCTCCTGTACGACGAAGTGCAGGACAGTAGTCTTCCCATCAGTCCCTTTAACATCTGCCAACTTCAACAGGGCGTCAAGCTTGAAAGCTTTGGCCTCACCATGGTTAGTGCCAACATTCATACGGTTTCCAGTTCTGAGAACAGCTTCAAGCAGCTTAAAAAACAGCCTACTACTTCTTAGATCCTCACACGCAGCCTGGACAAATAAAAGGAACAAATCATTTATCAATATAAAGGCACAAATGCAGGTAGAATTTTCAGTGCTCACCTTAAGGTTTTCTATGAAAAGTTTTAATTTAGATTATAACATGTTGATTGTGAGAATGGATTTCATGCACTTTTACCTCAAGAGTTCCGAAAGATGTCCTCAGATAGTTTACTTCTGTTTCAAAATTGGATTTGTAAAGCATCGCATCAACTCTTTTGAAAGCAAATGGTATGTCAAGAACACCCTTTAAAAACCGCTCTGCAGGTCCTAGTTTTGATACATCACCAATGTAGTCCCTAAGCTTTAGCTCTTCTTCCTTGGTGGGAGCCATCTTGACTAAGGTTTCAAAAAGCTCGGCCCCTAGGCCTTCAGTATTTCCTACAAAAACAATGTAAAACATTTCAGAATTGGAGAAATTTACATGGAATAACATAGGCTAAAGTTTGAGAATTGTAAATATATAGCATAAACTGGTCTTTATATAGATAGTTTGCTCAAAATCGAACAACTTTGGAATACTAATAATAGTGGCATTTGACGAAATATAAGTTTAAGAGCGTTCAATGTTAATACAAAAATTATGTCTATCTACAGATTTAAGAGTGTCTGAGCAAAACAACAGAACATTGGCCAGATTGATGACCTATATCAATCCAAAGCCGATTGGGGTGATACAAATGCATTGAAAATGTTGCTTGGCTCGGTGCCTCTGGTTGCTTCGCAGCCCTGCTACCGGCCGCTGCTATCCGCCCACTACCTGCTGTTATAAATGGCCATTGCTACCTGACTCAAGTATTTGAAATACTATGCAAGTAATCAAATACAAAAAAGAAACTCCTAATGTGTTTATTATTATTATTATTATTATTTTTTAATGAATAACCAAATACTAGCACGGTATTACAAATACATAATTTCATTTTACATTGCATGCTTCGGAATTCCAAATACTTCACAAACAAACAACCCCATAAGGCAAAATAATAAAATTTTAATCTCCATTATACTCCAAGATCAAGCTCGGCATAACGCGGGTCTCCAAAACTCGATGTAGTAGGTTCGAGCAATTCTTCTTTCTTTTATCACTTAAGAACCGTGCGAGGTTAAAGTCTCGTGCACAGTTTTGAATGAGATAAAGAAGTGAGGAATCCTCTTTTCGACTCTGACTCTCGCACTCCAGTAGCTTTTTTTCATGTCATAAGTCTGAAGAAAGTAGCAATCAATAGGATTTTCCGAATCCTCCTTTCCCGAAAGGAAGAACGTGAATTTCTTTTTCCTTTCCACAAGGACCAGGAGATTGGATCCAGCCATCATTAATTGGAAAAAAAAAGACAGAATTCTTTGACTTCATATTTTCACGATTATTGGTTGCATTTCACAACTCCACCAGAAATTCCCTCCGCCCCTACTGTACTCCAGCTTGATAGTTTCCACCGTCTGTCCAAGTTTGAGCCCTGAGATTAACAACGGACTTGAAAAGCCCTACAACTTACGAAATATATTAATTTAAAGCAAAGTGAGCCTACCTAAGTTATAGCATACATCGAACATGAATAATCTAACCTTCACTATTGTCTATTCTATACTAATCATGCTGTGTGCTCTTCTCTAAATTATTGGATTCATATCCCTCTCGTTTTTGACTATTTTTTTTTTAACTCATCCTTATTATCTTTAAGACTTAGAACTATGGTCTTCCACTTGCATTTGATCAACTTGTTTCAAATTCTAGGTGTTTATTCCAACTCTTGATTCTATTTTCAAGTCATATCAAATGAAGTTATCATACAAAATTAACTCATCTTTAGTATTTAAACCACTATGAGCCATTTGTTAATCTTCAAATTAAACAGTCAAAAAGGCATAATCCTTTGAAGTTGAGACACCTAACTCAAAGTAGTTCTATCCAGTGTACAATGTACCATGGTATACTCCTACTATTAACATCACTATTGTAGATAGCGCTTGCATAACTGTTTTATCATGTTTCAAAAAATGCCTTGCATCATGTTCTCTCAAATATCAAAAGATTTATTTAACAAACTCACATGTGGCTTTAGTAGATTTGTCGTGTACCTACTTATAACTCCCACTATATATGTTATGTCAAAGTCAGAATAAATCATACAAAATATAAGACAACCAACTATTAAGGCACATGAGATTATGACATGCATCTATGTTCGTCTGTCTCCAATAACTGATAAAATGTCTTGCAGAGAATTATTAATAATTTTTGCATTTTGAATCCTAATCTATTTAAGGCCATTTGAGTGTAACTTGCTTGCGTCACATCAATATAATGGCTCTCTTATTATGAGCAATCTTCATCTCATGAATTAGTTTTATAGCTCTTAAATTCTTCAGTTACACACTATTATAATTCATGCTTTAATTTAATCACTTCCTATATGCTAGCTGCTGCCCTAAGCATATCATTTATATACACAGTGAAATCAATATAAGAATCATTAAATCTCTTAAAATTTGTCAATTTCAACATGTATACCCATCGGATCACAAAAACCAAAACATTTTCCACCACATCAAAGTTTTCAGAAGTCATGGCTTTTAATATGTGTCCAAACATCAATCAAACTATTGTCGACTTCAAGCTACTATTTTGCTCTACCTCGATCATGACCGCTGCTCTACTAGTTCCAATAGGATCCTTCTCCCTTTCCATTGGAGAGCGATGTTATCGAAGGCCTTCACCCTCTTCTTTTCTCTTGCATCAATTTAAGTTTCGTTCTGCCTCTATGATTGGACTCCATTGCTTTTCTTTTAGCAGGTGCATGGAGTTTCTAGATAGGTTCTATTCAAGATGAAATTGAGAGTGAAAAATGTATGTATTCTTCATTTTGAATTTCTATTTTTAAAGCTTGAAATGAAGAGGAAAGAGTAATACTAAATTTTCCGTGCTTAAATCTAATTGTCCATATATCAAGGGAACAAATCATAGCAACATCAAACAAATTTCATTAATCTCCAAGGCCAACTGAACACCTCTTAACTTACAGAAGGGACACCAGACTCAAAACCATTCATGGTCTACCTATCTATCCTAGCCACTCGTATGAAGCCAAATGGTTCTTCCGGTCCACCCATCCTAATTTGTCAACCACCATGTTGCCCATCTCTATTTTCCTAGCCCATCCAGGCCATTTGTTTACAACGAATGGATCAACCCAAAGCATCAAACACCCTTCGATTGACCTTCACCAAAGACTTGACTCCTTGCTAGCCGATTAGCTCACTCACTTTCGTTTTTATTCCTACTCAATTAGTCCATTTACTTCCCAACTCCCAACTGGCATTCAAAGCTACTTTTTAGAAAACTTCTTGGCACCCCACTGTTGCTAATAAGCCTTCCCTCGAATTGACTATTGCTCTAGATCATCCTTGAACTATCACATCAACAACTTTTGCTATTCTTGTGCACCAATGCGTGCAAGGGTGTACATTAATTGATTCAAACTAAAGATCATATCAAACCGGGTATATTTGGTTGAATTAATTCTATTTATTCAAGCATAGATTGATTTTTTATTTGGAAATAATGGTTTTTGGATTGCAATTTTTTAATAGGCTTAAGATTTTTTTTTTTAACTAAGCCAAAAATTGTGAGACTAAATCAAGACTATCATGTGACTTAATAGTCCAAGATCTCCCAAAAGCCATATGCATAGATTGCGGCTTCCCACTTGAAAGAGGCTCGCGAAATATCTCTGTATACAAATAATCTTTAATCTACATTCTCTAGAAACAAAACTCAAATCCATCAAATATGCCATGCTCAATTTTCCTCTACCAGCACCATCACTTCCAATGCTGCTCATCAAACCAGTTTAGAATATTAAAGTCTAAGAACAAAAGGCAAATCACAGGAACACGGAAGGCAAAGATTTAAAGTTGTTCAAATGAATTCTTCAATCTATGGTCGTTTAGCATATTCAAAAAGGAATAAGAATATTTCATATTATTTATGGCCTGCATCTTCCACCCGCCCCCACCTTTAACATGTCCTTTAAGCCATTTATTTTTGAACTTTGAGTATTTCCCGTGAGCATACTTGTTGAATCCAAATTTTTCCAAAAGAAACGACTAAAGAATAGAGTGTCGGAGATCGAAAGGAGAGAGAGAGTAATTGTGCAACATTGAACATTAAAACTACGTAACATTTATTCATGAAATGGTTGGGGTCTATTATTACATATTGTACCCCTACGGTACATAGGTAAGTCGGGTGTACTTTGGTCCATACATGAATTCGGCCTGTGGGTCTACGAAATATGACCGACTGGCCTTTTGGCCGGACGACCATGGAGCTGAGAGGTTGCGCTGCCGAATGGTCGCTAGGTCTGTCGGCTATTCGTCGGAAGCCCGTGTCTCTGCCCTTGGGGCTTCGGGGACCATTGCTCTTTTCCGTTCTGTCAGAGTTAGTTGGTAGTGGTCTCGTCCAACTGGATCTGATCAGCTAAATCATTTAGAGGTGATTTTTCCCTTCTATTTGAGACACACAGCTCCTATGATATAAAGATATGTCCAGTTACACAGAAATTCCCAAGTTGTCCATGGTAGGGTCTACAAGGCCACTTCACCCTTCTTGCAGTCCGTGAGATGTCTCTGCGATTCATGCTGCCACTTTTTGATATACAATACTCTTCTTCATTAATGTAATAATTTGATCAATTATGCCTGCTTTCATGTATACAACATATGTATTAGGTCATTCCATTTGCTATAGATGTTCCAAAGGGGTTGAGTACAAGGACATTCCCAACATAAAAAGGATTCACTTTTGCATTTTTTGTACTCTTTTTCAAAATTCTAACATAGGCACATAAGAATATATTTGATTTACTTGAGTTTCTTTTTAATATTACCTCAGTTTCACATCGGTAAAAAAAACAAATAATTGTTTTTGTTCAGATAGTTTGAGTGGCCTTGGGATTTTCCATTTCATTTTCAACCAATATGTTACATATTCAAGAATAAAAAAAAAGAAAAACTCATTTAAAACAAGCAAAGATATCTGTTAGAAAATTTAGATAAAAAGACAAAAAGTCAGCGAACAATTCCCAAAAGGATATCTAATGGTGCATGATTGCATGGCCAACATGTAAGCATGATAAAAATAAAGTTATTTAAAAAAGTTTCAGAGAATAATCTCATGATCACAAGTGATGTACAAAAATATTGGGTTACATGTAGACAAAACAAGGCTGCATGGAGCTATCTTGAATGATTAATTCAAAAAGCTGTCCTTGTGAGTCAAGACAGTTGATGGAATTCCTAATAAATTCCTTTCTCCAAAAATATAATCTATAATTCAAAAGGGCATCTTGCAAATCACTAGTCATATATTTTAACCCAATGCAGCAAATCAAATACTATCATCCACTGTAAGCTTAAATCTTGTGAATCAAAACATCATAAATCAGCAAGTTTTCATATGAAAAGAACTTTAATGGTGCCTCTGCATCTTATTTTTTTTTGGAGGAATATGGTAGTAAAGTAAGCCATACAGATAGCAGCAAATCACTCAACAAAAATACTTACCTTCCAACAGTGCTTCTGATACTTCCTCTCTCGTCACATTCAATGCTCGCAGAAGTATGGCAATGTTCTGCGATTTCTTTGCATCTAGCACTCTCTCCTCTTGCTTCAACGGCGGAAGGACTGTTCTCCTGCTCTGTTCTCTTGGAGGAGGAGCAGTCGAATTATTCACAAACAAAGCCTCAATCCTATCTTCATTCAAACTGACAATAAATAGACAGAGGAAATTATGCACATCAGGTGTCTGTCTAAATTACTCTTAAGGAAAAAAAAACAGGGGAAGCTTAAGTAACGTACTGGAATGAATCAGATTTCAGCTGGTCCCAAACCATTGCTCGATCAGAGGTCGCCCGGACTTTGTCCCAATGCAAGGGCTTCAGCTTAGGCTTTGCCTCGCTATCTAAATCGCCTTCTTCCTCATCAACGGGCTTCGAAGTGGAGCTGCCGCTGACCGGCCGAGCATTAATGGAGCGCTGCACGTCAGCACGGGCGGCATCCTCCGGGGGCAAGGGCCTCAAAAGCTGACGTCTTGATGAAGGCAATGGCGAATGAGATATTTCGTTCAATTCTTTGATTACTCTGCTAAAACTCTGAGGCTGGTTCCATGGCTGTGGCAGTTTAGTATTTTTCTCCATCTTCGGGGGTGGCGGCGGAGGTGGCGGAGGAACAGGAGGATGATTTGTCGGAGGGTGCGGCGGCGGAGAATGAGAGTTGGGCGAATTCTCGAGTTTGACATCCGAAGCCGTGTGATCTGATAACTGCATCTTTGGAGAAGATCTCCGGGACCGAGGAACCTCTTTTTCGGCGATGGAAGAGGATTGATTCCGGCGAGATCTCGGACTCCCGGTGCTCTCACTGTTTCTCGAAGTTGCAGAGCGCTTTGGCGTAAAATATGTTTCGTCATCGGAGGAAGCTGCCACCGCTAACGTCGCAGCCGCCGCCGCCACTGCCGGGGGAACTGCCGGTGGATAATGGCGACGAAGCGGCGGAAGGGGCTGAAGTTCAGGGCTTGGAATACGCATCTCCACAACCCGCTCAAACTCCGAGCTGAGCTTACGATACGAAGACCGGTTTGACTCGGCACTTAATCGTGGTGCGGCAGGAACGCTGGGCTCCATCGTCCCAAGATATAGGAAGTCCGCGGCGGCGATCGGGCGGTCGGGAGCTGCAGAGCGGCCAGAATCTTCAATGAGCTTTCGCGAATCCGGCTGATTTTTAGCTCGCCGGCGGTAGCGAAAGTACGCAAACAGAGATAGAATCGCCGCCGCGAAGACGGAGACGGAAACCCCGATGGCGAGTTTGGTCGCACCAGAGTTTGAGTGACGTCCTGCAGAAAGGGGGAACGGCGGCTTAGGTGCCTCAGTTATAGGGTCAGGGTAGTCGGAAGGTGGAGGCGGAGGAGTCCATTGAATGGGGTACAGTGGCTCGTGGAGAATTCTCCGGCTTCCACCGTCGCCGGCCGCCGTGGCGGCGATCAGAGGAGGAGAAAAAAAGACACCATGGAATTTTTGTGATGGCAATTGAGCGCGAGGAAAGCGAAGAAAGGAGAGGGAAGTGAGAATGAAAAGGAAGCTTCTTTCTGCAGCAAGATCTGGATTCTGTTGCTCTGGTTGTCGCTGCTGACGACATTGCACAAGCCGCCACTGTTGGCAGTAAATTGCATTGTTCCGGCGGGGAATTTGGGTCGAGGCAAGCGGGAACGTGGCGGGAGAATCTCGATTTTCTTATGAGTAATCTCTGCTTCCCTGTCATTCCCGTTGATCTGAACTGAGCACTCGTTGAAGACCTCATTATTTTAATCAACAGCAAAGATCCTAATTGCATTGCGGTTATTCTTTGGGAAAGTTTGAAGTTGCCATTTTGGCATTTCGATATTCTTATGAATGTCACTGCAAAAAACAATTTTGTTTTGCCAAATACTAGTGGTATTCTATCTTGTAAAAATACATCACATTTTTTTTTTCAAATTGAAACTATGGGCAGTACCTGTGGTTCTAATTTTGAGCCGAGTTGGGGTTGGCTTCGGCTCAAAGTTGGCTAAAAAAATTAATTTAAAATTTTGGCTCGTAATTCGGTTTATTTATTTCGATCATATCTCAATCCGAGCTAATTTGAATAACTTTTCGAGCAATTAATAATCTTTGAGCTGAATTCACATGCCTGACATCACTAGACTGTTAACAATTCAATTTCGATCTGAGCAAGGGCCGGCATGAAATCGGCTAGAAAACAATTGGATTTGACATTTTAACTCGTAGCTCGGTTCATTTATTTCGATCCGTTCTCGATTCTAGCCAAAATTCAAATCAATTTTCAGGTTATTAATGATCTTCGAGCTAAATTCAAAGCCCTACTTATGAGGCACTAAAAAGCTTTTTTTTTTTTTTTTCAAAATTGGACTCATCATATTATCTTTTAAATTGATTATGTAAATAAAAAATGATGAAATTTCTATAAAAAAAAAGAAAAATATCATATATAACATTAAAATCTTAAATTTATAAATGACATTGAATTACTTCTATTTACACTATTCACAACTGTATATCAGAAAATGTGTCAACACGAGTCTCAAAGAAATCCAACGGCCAACAGAGAAGATGATGTGGGGGAACAAGAATGACTAAAGGCAATTCGAGGTCCTGCATTTACCCACTTAGTGTCTTGTCAAGAGAAAAATAAACCATTGTGATGGAACTTGACTATCCCTCTTAATGGGTTGCCGACACTAACCTCGCGCGGATGAATCTACCAGGATTCCTCAACCAAGCGGGGTGTTTGATATGAGTCCATCTAATCTCAAAGTGACAACCTGCACCTCCAGCTCATCTCTCCAGTCATAGCTGCACGAGTCATGACCATCTCACGCTCCCCACACATAATTGCCCATATCACAATCGGTCTGGATGCCATTTCCTACTCCCGGCTATATATCGATATACTGGCCAAAATACTCCCAACTACACCCATTTGTACTAGAGGTGCATAATGTCATCTTACAACCTTCATTCTTATAAAGAGGGCTTTATTTCATGAATAAAAATTAGGTAATTTTACCGTTTATTAATGTCATATCTCTACTCTTTTCTTCTCTTTCATGCTCTATTCCTCAAGCGTGTCCCTCTTAAAAGATTTGGATTTAACAACAACCAATTCTTTTCATCTTTGTATTCAATTATTAACAATCTGATCTAAGCATTTATAAATTCTATTACTGGCCTTAATTTTGTCGATTTTAGCTTGTTTTTAAAAAAAATCAAAGCTGGAAAAACATATAAAATGATACATTTAAATTGAATGATATTATTATTTAACTGAAAATAGACAACTTTCACACCACGTTTTAGTTGAGACATTAACTTCACCCATCCTTTTCTAACATAAAATACACACAAAAACGCATATTTCATCATGGCGACAGCTTACATGCATCGCCTACATTAAATTTTAAGCAATTAATTGCATTTGACATTTGTCCTTTTCATAGGGGGTTTTTAGAAAAAAAAAGCCAGTCTCAGCGCGGATTCCTCTTGCATTTTTTCAACTTTTCCTTTTATTTGCATTGCCACACGTTAAGCATCTCTTTTTCGCACTTGGCGTGTAAAGGTATTAAAGCTGCGACATACAATTCTTTAATTACGTTTCTACCAGATACGACATAAAAGTTCTCAATTCGGCCCAATCAGCCGTTACGTCAGTCACATGAAGAGAGGCCGCAAACCACGACCTATATATTATTTATGGTGAATTTCAGTCCTTTTATTCAGTGCTTTGATTATTTTTTTGTTCTATTTTATTTACCATAACCATTTTTTTTAGGGGCAATTACATAAAGACTAAAGAGTACCCCTAATTTTGTTATTTACAAATCAATCCCCCATTCACCAATTTTTAAAATTTTCACTAAAATATCAAAATTCATGATAAAACCCGAACCTATATTTTTCATTTTATCAAGTTGTCAATGATTTCATCATGACATACATCAATGCAGCAATTCGGTAGTTAGAAAAATCATATTGGTGATTGTCTTGTAAATAGCAATATTTTAGGTGATTTTTATGTAATTATTCCCTTTTTTTTTTTCATTTGTATCTAGTTTCACAAAAAATTAGGAAGAATAAAATCACGGGTTGCATGAAAAAATTATCATAAAAATTAAGTATTAATTTATTAAAACTATATGGCAAACAAGCAAATAAAATTAATAAAATATTAATAAATTTTTTTGTAAAAAAATTCAAAAAGAAAAAAATTTTAAATGGTCTAAGTCAAAATAATCTATTATTTAATTGAAGTTACAGAATTTCACTCTTCTCATCAGTCATAGAAAAAATTTTACAATACATCTTTGTTCTTCTATTGTTATGATAGGATCTCTTAAATGAAAAAGATGTTTAAGTGATAACTATTAGGCAATGATAATCTAGATATATTAATCAAATAATAATAGTACTGTGATAATATTTAGGGTACGATAGGTTTGGGTGGCGATTGATAATAATTATGAATGGTTGTTGGCTTCTAACTCACTCACAAATTTATATTTAATTATGTTTTTCTTCCTTTTCGTGTGAAGAAAGTGAGCCTATTTATAATTTTATTATGGAGTGATATTTTTATAATTTTATATAAAATCTTAAAATACTATATCTAATAGTTCATATTAATTTTTTTTCAATTATAGAATATTTTTTTTAGCATTTAGTTTACAATTTTTGAAATTGAGTGACCATAAAATGGTTAGATTCATCTCAATGAAAGACTTGATTTAACTATGTGTATGTCAAATTTAAAGATCATTAGACATTCAAATTATTATGTTAACTTGTTAAATTATATTTCAAGTGTTTGATTTGAGTTCATTGAATGTGTATGAAATTATTTTTGGTGTCGTCGGGTTCATATTATTGAAATATTTAGTTTGACTATAAACTTGTTAAAATCGGAGCTCAAATGATTTTGCATTTGATTTTGAAAGTTTTCTCATCCAAAATATATCAAAATTTGTACTTAATCATATTGATATTTGCGTGAGATTAATACAAATAGATAATGTTGTTTTTGGTTATTTTTAAACCTCGGAGTGGTCAGCTTGTTTATTTGTCGTCGCATGATTTTCTTTTCTATATAACTCTCTTTATTGAATCATATAAAGGATGCGAAGAAAATGAAGGATCGAAAAAATGAGAACATAAGATGATATCTTGACAAACAAATAAAAAAAAAAGTGGATAACTTATGTAAGGTAAACTTCGTGCGATAGATTAAGCATATATGCTATCAAAACGAGATCATATTGAAATATTTTGAAACATTTATCCATGAAGAGAGAATCTTACGTAAGCAAGCACCAGAGAACCAAAACTTTGTATTTTGTTTTGTGGTCAAGAACAACTCCCAAAGTAACATGTTCTTTTGGTTCATTACATCTTATAGATACCCAAGAATACTCTCGATAACAGAAATCCTGGGTACAGTATAACAGAGAGCAAAGTCATCCAAGAAAAACTAAGCGTCCACTTGCTAAATGCCAACAACTCCCAAAGGAGAAGGTAGCTAAGTCTAAAACAAGTAACAAAATCATAATGAAACCTGAGATGAAAAGTCTCATCAATTGAACACATACCGATGATTATTTTATCTTAGATGAAAAAAGATAATAAGAGAGCAAAGTCATCCAAGATAAAGTGATCTCCACTTGCTAATGGCCAGCAGCTCCCAAAGCAGTGTATAACTAAGTGTAAAATAAGCAACAAAATTATAGTATCTTCACATCTGGCTAAATCAACTTTTGAATATAAAAGTGTCACATAAAAAACTTCTTCAATATCATCATTCTCAAGTAAATAAGACATCCAAAACATATTATTTGATCTATGTAATAACATCGTACATGGCCCTTCTTATGGCAATAAAACATATGAGCACTATAATATATTTAGAACTACCATCAATGGGAGTATAATATCTTCACATCGAGTGTTGCCTCATGAACTCAAATTTCAGGGGTATCGGTGGAGACCTTATCTGCCAATACGAATTCTTTACCTCTCCAAGTTTATTATTCAAAGCACGTATGCTTGATGACTGTAGCCTGTAACGAAAGAAGTCGATGAGAATCTGCCAAAATTGTTTAACCTATCTAAGATTGTTCGTCAAAGCTTCTGTTTGAAGATCGTGGCTTTTGATGGAAGATGTCAAAATTAAGTCCCTCATGGACTGATAAAGACTAGAATGAGGTGTCAGAAATATTATTTGTTTCTTGAGATTGAGGAGTATATCACAATTAATCATACCTTTTCTTGATAATATGGTTATAACCATACTCAAGAGTGATGTTCGACTACTAGGTAGCTGCTACTTTTGAATTTGTTATACCCCAGCTGAGCTATACTTTGCACGAGCATGTAAAGCATCCCATTTATTGAATCTTGAAAAAAATCAATTTTCTAAACAAGTTGAAGAGGAACTCAAGTGTGGTGAGGGGCGCTGAGGAAGCACTCTTTACGATGAAGATTTCCCCCCATTTTGAAAACAATTATCAAAGACTTTTTTTTTGAATGAGTTGACTGCCCTACCACAGTTGTGCCTAAGACACTGTGGAATGACCTTTCAAGACTACATTGAAGATTTCCCCCAACCTGGATGTATTTTCATAGAATTGATGGTTGAATGAGCTGTGAAAAAGCTATTCTCCCCACAACCGTGCTCCATAAGTTAACATGAACGACTTTTTAAGATTGTAGTGAATGTTGCACACCACATTGAAGAGTGCAAAGAAATTATCTTTAAGAGATAAAAAAATTAGTTCTTGTGTGAAT